ACATAAACAGTCCATAAACTACTGCCAATACTTCCTGAACAAGGCTATTTACGTGAATTACCTTCAAAGTTTTGTTTATCGTTTAGTGACTGAGTGAGTTTTACGCCGCACTCAGCAATATTCCGGCTATATGGCGGAGGTCTATAAATAATCGAGTCTGGACTAGACAGTCCAGTGATCGACAGTATGAGCATCGATCTGCGCAATTGAGAACCGATGACATGTGTCAACCAACCACCCGTCACTTCCGACAAGCACGGGTTACTGAAGATCAATATTCTAACCCGGACCTTCACGGGTTGTTTATCGTTTAATGGTGAGTGAGTGAGTGAGTTCAGTTTTACGCCGCTTCTAGCAATATTCAAGTGATATCACGGCGGGGGACACCAGAAAGGCGCCGTTTAATGCCCCACACATCTACTGCCAGCTGTATAACGACGTAATTTATTGACTCAGGGCCTGGCAATCTTATTGTAGACATCATGAGGTGAGGTGAGGTGAAATTGGGTTTTAACGTCGTGCTTGAGAATATTTCGCTCATATGACGACGTGCATGCGTGTGTATTCGATGTGAAGCTGCTTGTACTAACCCAGACTTAAGCTGGTTTTATAGTGCTAGCTCACTGAGATATCATGCCGCAGTTAAGCATAAATGCCCCTCTCAGACAAATTATACTGACTCCGAGCCGACCAGTCCTTGTTGTACCCATTTATGCCGAGCGCCAGGCAGGGACCAACAAGTTCCATATTTTAACGTCTTTTGGTATGACGCAGTCGGGGATCGAACCCGAGACCTTCCGCTCTCCGGGCGGACGCTCTAACCACCACACCATGGAGGCGGTCTTTTGACATCATGAACATCGATCACAAAATAGAAAAAGAAGACAAAGTCATTAATATCCCCAGCAACGGCAAAATACTCTTTATGAATATGTCTACTAGTTATGATTATGTCAAATGTTTTGGGGTGTATAGCAAAGTGGAAGGAGAGTATTGAAATGTTTTTAAGATCTGCTCCAGAGAGGGGCACTCGCACCAAATTTAGTAGAAGCCTCACTTGTTTCCATGGAAATGCAACGAGATGACATCCTCATAGTCACAGCCTAACTCACATTTCCACGGAAACCACAAAAAAAAACAATTCGTATCTGGGTCTTACCATCAAATGGCACATCTATGGATCATGCTTGATATGTGTACCAAGTTTGATGAAGCTAGCATGTACAGTTTAGAAGATCTGCTCCAGACAAGATGACATCCTCATAGCCACAGCCTAAGAAAAACCACGGAAACCGCAAAAACAAATTCATATCAAAATTATATATAAATTGTTGCCATGGAAACACACAGAAATCCAAACTATCAAAAGGCACCAGTTCACCACTAGACCTACCTATGTATGAAATTTGGTGATGACACAGTGAACAGTTTTTAAGTTCTGCTCCGGAAAAGGGCACCACTACCAATTTCAGTCTAACTCCAACTTGTTGCCATAGAAACGCCAAACTTATTTTACGGAAATCCAAAACTACCAAAAGGCACCAGTAGACCACCAGATCTATCTATGTGCCAAGTTTGGTAAAGAAAAAGCAAATGTGCACTGACGCACGCACGCACGGACGGACGGACGGATGGAGTCATTTTAATACCCCCCGCAAAACGCGTTGCGGGGGATAACAAAGGTACTCTTTTCGCGAGACAGGTTAAAATCTATATGCGTTTAACCTTTGTTTTGCTCCATTTGAACCACAAAAACACCACGACGGAATAACATGCCTCAGTCAGGTGAATATCAAAAAGGAAATACCGTTTCCCGGTTGGAAACATGAAAATAGCAAGTCTTTTTTTTATTCCCACAGGGGGGCATTTGACCCATAGTGAAAATGTTTCAAGCAACAGGTGACGAAATGTTAATCTGTCTATGTATAATACAGCACTCAGCCATATTCAAGCTGTATGGCCACGGCCTGTAAATAGCTGAGTCTGGACCAGACAATCTATTGGGCGGATGGCATGGTCAGGTGGGGCGACACTTTGGAGGGAGGGCCGCTCATACTACCATTCACTGATCTGTGTGGTCCAGCCTCCTGTTTTGTCATCGTAACCCATTTGCATAGATCGATGCTCATGCTGTTGATCACTGGATTGTCTGGTCCATGCGGCGTGAAACTAAACTCATTACCCATGATCAACTGCTGTATATCACTTGAACATTGCGGAGTTTAGCAATAAACAAACAGCAGTTGGGAAAGGCAAGCGAACGCTTACAACAACCCTGATGTACCAACGCCCATCAATTGGTGTTTTCCATCCGATTCCAATTCTATGGCACGCGTGGTCATGACAACCCGTCTCCGAGTCATTTTAGCGCCGGTTAAAGGCGAGACGAGAAAAGCAACTCACTTCCACAGCTGACGGACCGAAGTATGAACTAAAAGGGCACGATAAGATAGCGGTTGAGTGAATCCCGATCGAAATAGAATATTTCTTTAATAATTACAGACACAAGTTATAAGTACCCTCTACAATGCTACGTTTTTTGGTCTCGTGTGTTCGTTACCTACAGTGTCTTGAAGATGAAAATTCTTGGCGTGCAAACGTCCGTAAAGGGGAAGTTGGGCTTTAGACAACTTGCAGCTGAAGACATTTATAAAAATGTTACTTCGGTTATCAAGTTCGACCACACTGTGGATTATATGTACATCTCTGTCATATCCTGATGTCCACATAACTTCTATGTGGGGCTGATTTGTTATTGGTACGAGGGACCGGTGAAGATCCGGGTTAGAATTGATCTTCAGTACCCATGCTTGTCGCTAGAGGCGACCGTGTGGTCAGGCTCGCTGACTTGGTTCACACATGCCATCGTATCCCAATAGCGTAGATCCATGTTCATGCTGCTGATCACTGGATTGTCTGGTCCACACTCGATTATTTACAGCCCGCCGTTATATAGGTGGAATAGTGCGGCGTGAAACTAAATCATTCACTCTTTTGGGCCCGATTCGTTATTAGTGCGAAGGATCCGTCGTGGTGACCTTGAAGATAAGGTCAAGGTCACCCAAAATCAAATGGTGTCTGCGTAATCCCCCAATGTATGCTATCACCAAATTTGAAGACATTGGCTACAACAGTCCATGAGATGCCGTGTTAAGAAGAGTTTGAAAAGTGTTCAAAGTGTCGTGGTGACCTTGAAAATAAGGTCAAGATCACCTAAATAAACTGGTGTCTGTGAAATCCCCCAATGTAGGCTGTCACCAAATTTGAAGACATTGGTTACAACAGTCCAATAAATATCGCGTTAACAAGAGTTAAAAGCTTGCAAAGTGTCATCGTGACCTTGAAGATAAGGTCAAGGTCACCAAAATAAACTAGTGTCTGCATAATCCCCCAATGTAGGCCGTCACCAAATTTGAAGACACTGGGTACGACAGTGCATGAGATATCGCGTTAACAACAGTTTGAAAAGTGGTCAGTGTCGTGGTGACCTTGAAAATAAGCTCAAGGTCACCCAAATCGACTGGTGTCTGCGTAATCCCCTAATGTAGGCTGTCACCAAATTCGAAGACATTGGATACAACATTTCATGAGATATCGCGTTAACAAGAGTTTGAAAAGTGGTCAAAGTGCCGTGGTGACCTTGACAATAAGGTCAAGGTCACCCAAATCGAATGGTGTCTGGGTAATCTCCCAATGTAAGCTGTCACCAAATTTGAAGACATTGGGTACAACAGTTCATGAGATATCGCGTTAACAAGAATCGGGACGTACATACGGACGGACGGACGGACGGACGCCGCTGAATACATAGTCCCCCGTTCCGCGTTGCGGCGGGGCACAATGAATGGTTTTGAGTGACATACGTCTGATAAGATCAAACAATCAAAGATAAATTGAATTATTTTCATGAATATTTCAATCCAGTGCTGTAAAACCGCAACAATTTCGAAATTCGTAATTCAAAGATAGAAAAGACGACGGACCAGCCATACTCATTATCAGTACAACGGCCAAATCCGTGCTCCGGGAACAAGTATTTTACTAACACAGACAAAGCACCAGGGTTTTTTACATGTTCGTGGAAGAAGTCAAGTACACCTCTGGTCCTGACTCGATTATTTCCAGACTGACGTCATATATCGGGAATAACGCTGAATGCGGCATTAAACAACACTGACTGACTGAGTTTAGTTTTACGCCGCTTTAAGCAATATCACGGCGGGGGACACCAGAAATGGGCTTCACACATTGTGCCCATGTGGGGAATCGAACCCGGGTCTTCGGCGTGACGAGCCAACGCTTTAACCACTAGGCTACCCCACCGCCCCCATTAAACAACACACAAACCAACCAAAAAAACCTCTAAAGACATCATGCTACCAAGAATTCAGGGCTAAAATGGATTCCACAAAAAGCAGGCCTGACGTAAAAAGGGTTAACTAGGTCCTCAGACTGCTTGTCTCGAACAAGTACCTCGACATATTTCGATGATCGTTTGGAGTAAGGACGTTTAGCTGCAGCTCGAATAAAAGCTATAAGATAACATTTCCATAAATCATAATAAATGTCTACTAATGTATCGTCCATTGCACGATTCCGATCACATCGTACTCACGTATTTTTGAATCACTATCAAATATTAATGTTCATATTTTGCTACGTAGGGCCTTTAATCGATTCACTTAATGAGTGAGTGAGTATGGACTTTCGCCGCTTTAAGCAATATTGGAGCACAATTACGACTTGAGACACCAGATTTTCTATGAAATGTAAATGACTCCTGGAGACGGCGGGAAGTTAAGCGGATCCTGACGGTGACAAAGGTCGCAAATCCATGCAAAGGTAGCATATATTCTGACATGTCCTTAGATATCGTAAACGCTGTTTCAGTATCTATTTGGCCTACATGTGGGCCTACTCGCTAAGTACAAGGTCTCCCTTTATCTGCGGAACAAAACAGATATATATTCGGGGTACTCCCACTCGTCAGGGAAGCCCTGCCATGTGACAGATTCATCACATGATTAGACCCGTCAGTGTCGTCAATTTCAACATGGCGACCAGCAGCTATAGCGACCATGAATACACAGTCAAGGCCGTGTTGATCGGAGACTTAGGTGTAGGCAAAAGCACATTTCTCCACACGTTCATGGAAGGTAAATTTACACGTGTAGAGACATCCAGTGATACACTAGGATTCAAGCAGAAAACCATTATCCACAGTGACAAGAACGTTCGATTGCAGATGTGGGATACAGCGGGTAAGTACACCTTGACCAATGTTGGATGTCCACATGATGTATGCGTTATCACGGCTGGAGCTGAATATGATTCAGCCCTGATCGAGCGTACACACTCTCATTAACAGGTGACTTTGACTTGGATATATACTGCTATGCTTGTGGTTGAGATTATTTATATTTTCATTCACACTGTTTACACTAACCATCAATATACATTGCACATGCACCTCCTTTGTTTTTCACTCCTCTTCGCAAAGCGGAGAAGATAGTCTTGTAACGAAACAATATGAAGCACTGACCAACAAGCATTTCCAGAATTCAATTGTCTAATTTAAACTATAATGTAAAATTAATAAAAAAAAATTAAAAATATGGTTAACTAGGTCCTCGGAGCGCTTGTCTCGAACAAGTACCTCGACATATTTCGATGATCGTTTGGAGTAAGGACGTTTAGCTGCAGCTCGAATAAAAGCTATAAGATAACATTTCCATAAATCATAATAAATGTCTACTAATGTATCGTCCATTGCACGATTCCGATCACATCGTACGCACGTTCGGAGCCAAGAAGATTGCTAAATTTCAGGGCAATCTGAACTGCGAGAGCATTCCAGACATGAGTTGGGTTAATTTCTTGATATATTCTCTTTGTTAATTTCTTGATATATTCTCTTTGTTAATTTCTTGATATATTCTCTTTGTTAATTGTTTGATATATTCCGTGGAGACGGACTATCTGCAGCTGTGTCACATCGTCCTGTTTTTAATCTGAGTAAACCGTGTCCCGCGACGACCTTATGGTGACGCATATAGGATTTTAAACAGGTGCACCTAAGTGGCCACCTACCGCTACAAATATAGTCACTTAACTGCACTTAATTTGGGGTAGAGGAGTTGGTAGATGATTGGCGGTTTGTCATAACTCCATACAACTATTTTTTTCTTCAGAGGAAACGCTGGGCTGCTTAACTGTTTCAGATCATCCTGGCTGTTCATCGAACAATTTTGGGTGTGGTGGTAGGTGGGGTTGGTTGGGTGCTGGGTGAGTGGGTATTTAAGCAGGAGTGGGTAGGTAAGTTTCCGTAGGTGGGGTGGGTAGTGTCGGGTCGTTAGGTACTGGTGAGATGGGTAGGCTGGGTAGATTGGAGTGGGTAGGCTGGGATGATTTGGGTGGTGTAGATTGATTTGGGTGGGAAAGTTGGGGTGGGTTCTCTCGGGTAGGTGGGCGTGGGTAGATTTGGGTGGGTAGGTTGGGATGGGATGAGTGGGACAGACAGTTTGTGGTATTTAGGCGTGGGTAGGTTGGAACGGGTATGTATAGGGATTTGTACTGCGCGGTATGCAGGGGTAGGTACGTTGGAGATGGTAGGTTTGGATAGGCAGGTGTGGTAAGGTAGTGGTGGTTCGGTTGAGTTGGCGGAGTAGGTATGGGTGTGAGGGGTAGGTTGTGTTGTGTTGTATATATTCACAGGACCAATGACACCCCCATCTCGCTCCCAGCCCCTGAATATACAATGGCCCTCTCACATATACAACTGCATCGATCTTTCGTGAATAAGATTTTAGTCAGATAAAAAAGATGTAATTCTGATAACGCAGCCGTGTGTTGCGAAACTGTTTATCTTTCCAAACATATGCCTACTATAAATGGGTTAGACAGATAAACCTTACACGTTTCAACTCAGTTAACACGTTCTGCCACAAAAGCATGACAATGTGTAAGCAGCTGGCCTTGAAACTTGACCTTCCCTATATATTAAATTAATCGGAAACAGACTCATGTAACTGCGAGATTGCACACATTCGCACAGACAGTCACATATACATTATAATGCGCTCCCTACCGAATCAGTGCTAAACTAGGTCACATGAAGATTGAGTACGCCATCGCAGGACTTTGTAGGCAATAAACAGTACACCCGTGCTATCGACACTGCACACTGAAATAGACATGGTTTGTCATTTCATATCTGTATTCAAACGCGTACGGATGTTTGAAATATTTCAAGTCATCCGTAACAGTTCATGACGAACGTAAACACCCTTAGCTTGAGAGCCTCAAGGACAAATACACAAAGCAGTAAATATAAAGCCAACGCCTCAATTCCCCGTGTAAACAAATTCCATCGGGAGTTAAAGGCAATAAAGCGATGATAGGGTTTTTCGAAAAAATTAAATTACCTCAGGATATACTTGAAAATAATTATGCGTCAGGCCGTTGAATAAATGGGACGCCCAAAATTGAGTGACTACGTGAATGAGGTTTTATGCCGCTTTCAGAAATATTCCAGCAAGATCACGGCGGGGGACACCAGGACTGGTCTTTACACATTGTGCCCCAGCCCACCATCCCAACCGCCACCACCAAAAAATAAAAGTAAAATAAAATAAAATTAATATATAAATAAATAAAAGAATAAATAAATTAAGCATAATAAATCAATAAAAGTAGAATGAAAAATAACTAAATTTATAATTAAATAAATAACATTTTAAAACAAATATTGTAAAATTTAATAAAATCAATGGGATCAGGCTAAAACGGCCCCAATTTTGCTTGGCTAAAACGGCCCCAAATTGGCTAAAACGACCCCGGTGCAAAACGGCCCCGATGCTGCTATCAACTATGTTGCTTGAAATGACCCCGTACAATTGCTAAAAAAAGACGTGAAATATATTTGGGCATTTATATTGACATGTAACATATATTGAAAACAGAAAACGTCCTAACAACACTCTCCTTGCGGCACACACAGCAGTACTATTAACATTCTTGACGATGTATTTGTTTTCAATTTTAGTGTAATCTGAAGTTACATAATGGGTATTAAATAGAATAACAACACAGACAATAAACTTCCAATGGTTCTTGCATGATACCAACAAGGGACCAGTTCGTAGATATAAAGTCAGCGGGTGATGGGTCCATGGATTTGGCTGAATCTGGTCAAAAGTTGACCCAGCGATAGGTCTCCATCCTTGTAACCTCTCCAGACCTCGAAGATATCTTCCTGTGTAGCTGTGGCAGAGTTGCGCAGGTAGGTTCGAAGTCAAACTTAAATTTTAGTGAATATTGTTAGACGATCTGTACAATATTCAGTTTGAAAAAACGCTGATTATTTGGGGCCATTTTGGCAAATATGGGGCGTTTTCACTTGGGGCCGTTTAGTCATGGGGCCATTTCAGCCCCTAAGCATTTGGGGCCCTTGTAGCCAATTTGGGGCCGTTTCGACTTGGGGCCGTTCTGCCGTGGGGCCGTTTCAGCTATAACCCAAATCAATAAAAAAAAGATAATATTGCTTTCATGTGTTCTATTAAAAAGACAAAAATTAAGCTCATATTTAGGTTTGCATCTGTATCTGCAAAAGTATACAGTGTCCATGTGGATGGACAGGTGATCCGTGATGACATCAGCATTTCGCGAAAAGGGTAACCGCCCATGCGGTAAAAGGTAAACTAAACTCCTGTGTAATATTCAACGAATGTCTGAAGTGGGTGTGGGCTGGTATGTACACACGAGGTCAGTGGGTCCGCTGGTATTTCGTCTGATCCTAAGCACGGGTGAACAGAGGTACTTGAAGGCCAATACTCTCACGAGATCTTTGTGCAGTATTTTCATTGTACGGTTGATCACGTGCTGTCTGGAAGAATTAGGTTTCTGGGCCGCGTTGCACAAAAGTCGCGTCTGTGATGGCTCCTCTCCCTGGAGACTAGACAAGCATCCAGTCTGTGGTATGAGCATATGTTAGAGAAAAAATGGTTTCTAAATTATGTTCATAAAAAATGATAAAACGAGCCTAGAAACTTTCATCATTTTCAAACCTGCCACTTATTCTCGACTTGCATCGGCTGCATTTGAGTATATTTGTTTCAGGATCTGTATGACAGATTGCCTGGAGACAAATGTGTATGTTTTCTCTACGCTGAAAGCAAAATATCCTTGACATATTTCGAAAAAGTCTGGACACGCTATAACGGTGCAAAGCTGCACTGCCACAAGTGTTTAAGGTATTTGAAAATAGATGCTACTGAAGAAGACCACCCTTCGATCGCTACAGGGTACCGTGGTACAAAGCGATCTTAGCGCTATGGTGACCGTAACTCCCATATCTTACAATAGACCTAAGATAGTCTTAGTGCTATTTTACCCGTGAAGGTCCGGGGTAGAATTGATCTTCAGTAACCCATGCTTGTCGTAACAGGCGACCAACGGGATCGGGTGGTCAGGATCGCTGACTTGGTTGACGTATGTCATCGGTTCCCAATTGCGCAGAACGATGCCCATGCTGTTGATAACTGGATTGTCTGGTCCAGACTCAACTATTGACAAACTGCCGCCATATACATGTAGCTAGCATATTGCTGAGTGCGGCGTAAAACTAAACTTGCTCACTCACGTAGTTAAAACCCAAGAGACCCAGAAACATAAACGGTGCAACACGGGATTCGAACCCACAGTTACATAACTTTTCCGATGTACCCAAGGGACATAACTCCGCTCAGGACGTAGCGGCGCGCAGACGATTGGGCCAACCGCTTCCACCTAATTTAATCAACAGAGTTAGAAGAAAATATTCATGACAAAAACGTAACCAGTGTCCTGACTAGAACGTTCTGATGAACTATTTAGTAATGGGCTGACCTTTTCAGGCTTTATATAACTTCAAAACCTCCTACATAACATGATGTAATGTCAAGGTAATGCTAGTTACTTCAAATATGCCTTTTGTCAAAACGAAAATCATATAAAATGAAAATAGACCACTTCGATCATACGCCAAAGAAGAAAGTACAATTTGATGTCGGACACTCACAAACGTCAGTTGATTGCAGCTGAGGCAATATATTGTGCAGCCGTAAGGCATGAGTAATACAACCGCGAGAACAGGCAGCTGTTACAGAGCGTGACAGAGAGTTGATCTGAGTGTTTGCTTAAACAGCCTTTTTGGAGACTTAAACCCTCTCCTCCCATATAACCTTCCATACATAACCTACATTCAGTGTTGACCTAAGAGTCG